AACAGAATGGGAAAAAATTTTTGCAGTCTACCCATCTGACAAGGGGCTGATATCCAGAATTTACAAAGAACTAAAGCAGATCTACAAGAAAAAAACAAACAAGCCCATTCAAAAATGGGCGAAGGATATGAACAGATACTTTACAAAAGAGGACATACAGGAGGCCAACAAACATATGAAAAAATGCTCATCATCACTGGTCATCAGAGAAATGCAAATCAAAACCACATTGAGATACCATCTCACACCAGTTAGAATGGCGATCATTAAAAAATCGGGAAACAACAGATGCTGGAGAGGATGTGGAGAAATAGGAACACTTTTACACTGTTGGTGGGAATGTAAATTAATTCAACCATTGTGGAAGACAGTGTGGCGATTCCTCAAGGACCTAAAAATAGAAATCCCATTTGACCCAGCAATCCCATTACTGGGTATATATCCAAAGGATTATAAATCATTGTACTATAAGGACACATGCACACGAATGTTCATTGCAGCACTGTTTACAATAGCAAAGACCTGGAACCAACCCAAATGCCCAACGATGATAGACTGGATAGGGAAAATGTGGTACATATACACCATGGAATATTACACAGCCGTCAAAAACGATGAGTTCACGTCCTTTGTAGGGACATGGATGAACCTGGAAACCATCATTCTCAGCAAACTGACACAAGAGCAGAAAATCAAACACCGTATATTCTAACTCATAGGCAGGTGTTGAACAATGAGAACACATGGACACAGGGAGGGGAACACTACACACTGGGGTCCGTTGGGGGGAAATGGGGGAGGGATGGGGGGTGGGGAGGTGGGAAGAGATAACATGGGGAGAAATGACAGATACAGGTGAGGGGACGGAAGACAGCAAACCACACTGCCATGTGTGTACCTATGCAACAATCTTGCATGTTCTTCACATGTACCCCCAAACCTAAAATGCAATAAAAAAGAAAAAAAAAGTAAATAATTAAGTATAGAAAAATGCTGCTTGGTCCTAAAAATGCTCCTATGAACTATACCTGGTTTTTAGAACACATATAGTTGGGTATATAGTTAGGAATAGAATTGCTGGGTCGTAAGGTGCATGTGAATCCTGGCTCTGTCACTTAACAGCTGTATGACATTAGGCAAGTATCCAGAATCTCGTTTCTTTCCTTTTTTTTTTTTTTTTCAGACACAGTTTTGCTCTTGCCACCCAGGCTGGAGTGCAGTGGCACAATCTCGGCTCACTGCAACCTCTGCCTCCTGGGTTCAAGCGATTCTCCTGCTTCAGCCTCCCGAATAGCTGGGATTACAGGCAATCAGCACCACACCCAGCTAATTTTTGTATTTTTAGTAGAGATGAGGTTTCAGATGTTAGGCAGTCTGGTCTCAAACTCTCCTGACCTCGTGATCTGCCCGCCTCAGCCTCCCAAAGTACTGGAATTACAGGCGTGAGCTACCGTGCCCAGTCAGAATTTCCAGTTTCTTTATCCATACCAAGGAGTTAATATCACCTTGATGGGTGCAAACTCGTGAGACTACTTTCTTTTTTTTTTTTTTTTGAGACGGAGTTTCGCTCTTGTTACCCAGGCTGGAGTGCAATGGCACGATCTTGGCTCACCACAACCTCCGCCTCCTGGGTTCAGGTAATTCTCCTGCCTCAGCCTCCTGAGTAGCTGGGATTACAGGCATGCGCCACCATGCCCAGCTAATTTTTTGTATTTTTAGTAGAGACAGGGTTTCACCATGTTGACCAGGATGGTCTTGATCTCTTGACCTCGTGATCCACCCGCCTCGGCCTCCCAAAGTGCTGGGATTACAGACGTGTGCCACCGCGCCCGGCCCAAGACTACTTTCATTAATTAACAAAAGTATGTAATACTGAGAGACATTTTCTCTAAAGTCATAGATTTTTAGAAAATTTGCTGTTCAAATTATCAGTTAAGAATGGAATATACCACTCTTACCTGGAGGATCAGTTACTTTGATGTAGAAGAGTAACATCAATTTCTAACCCAGGTGCAGAGCTTCAGATAAGGGGTTTCCAGGCACAACATTCTATATTTATCTTGGCATCATGGTTTCCTAGGAAACAGATTCAGAGTCCTCTTGTTAGCTGGGGCCTGATGATAATCCGTTTACACATAGCCTGGTGTGTTTTGCGGCTATCAAAACACGACTTCTTTAAAATTTTATCTACATTTCTTTCCCCCAAATCCTGGAATAACTAATTGCCTGCCTGTGTTTTGTGACATGCTCCATGATTCCTTTGGTGTTCAGTTTCCCTTGCAGCAGCAAGTTAATAAACTTAACTTTGTCAGACTACAGGTGGTCTTTATCAGATGTGCTTTATTTTGGAGATTACTGATAATGTACACAAAATGTGTTCACACTGCCTGGCACCTAATAGGCATTTAGGAAATGATAAAATTATTATTTTAAAATTATTCATATGTTAATTTAATAAATGTTTGTTTGACATCCACTATTTGCAAGGCACAGATTTACTGCTATGACAGATGCTCACTGCAACCTTCGCCTCCCAGGATTAAGCTACAGTCCTGTCTCAGCCTCCCAAGTAGCTGGGACTACAGGCCTGGGCCACTGTCCCTGGCTAATTTGGAAAAGACAGGGTTTCGACATTTTACCCAGGCTGGTCTCGAACTTCTGAGCTCAAGCAATCACCCCGCCTCAGCCTCCCAAAGTGCTGGGATTCAAGGTGTGAGCCACTGCAACCAGCTTAAAAACCACTTTTATTTTGTATGGAGAAAGAAAATACTTTTTTTTTTTTTTTTTGAGACGGAGTTTCGCTCTTGTTACCCAGGCTGGAGTGCAATGGCGCGATCTCGGCTCACCACAACCTCCGCCTCCTGGGTTCAGGCAATTCTCCTGCCTCAGCCTCCTGAGTAGCTGGGATTACAGGCATGCGCCAACATGCCCAGCTAATTTTTTTGGTATTTTTAGTAGAGACGGGGTTTCACCATGTTGACCAGGATGGTCTCGATCTCTTGACCTTGTGATCCACCCGCCTCGGCCTCCCAAAGTGCTGGGATTACAGGCTTGAGCCACCGCGCCCGGCCAAGAAAATACTATTTTTAATTCCTAAAAGAAAAATACCTTTAATGAACTTCACTTTAGTGTCAAATGTAAATGAAAAATTTCTCAGGACTATTGTATAGGGAAAAAAGTGTAATTTACATGACTTGCTAGAAGATTTGACACAAAACTATGGATTCTAAGAAAGGGTAAGGTTTTATAATAATAACCAAAACAGGCCAGGCTTGGTGTCTCATGCCTGTAATCCCAGCACTTTGGGAGGCCGAGGCAGGTGGATCACCTGAGGTCAGGAGCTCGAGACCAGCCTGACCAACATGGTGAAAATACAAAAATTAGCCAGGCTGTAGTGGTGCATGCCTGTAATCTCAGCTACTCGGGAGGCTGAGGTGGGAGAATCGCTTGAACCTGGAAGGTGGAGGTGAGCCAAGATCGCACCATTGTACTCTAGCCTGGGCAACAGAGCAAGACTCCATCTCAAACAACAACAACAACAAAAATTCTTTATAAAGAGAGAAAAAAAAATGCTCTCATAAATTCTCCAACGAAAAATAGAGACAGCCACGCTTAAAAAATCCTAAGGCTGATGGGCAGATCGCTTGAGCCCAGGAGTTTGAGACCAGCATGGGCAACATGGCCAAACCCCATCACTAAAAATATATATATATAAATTAGCGGGACATAGTGGCACATGCCTGTAATCCCAGCTACTCCAAGGCTGAGGTGGGAGAATCGCTTGAGCACAGGAGAGGGAGGTTCCAGTGAGCCGAGATCGCGCCACTGCACTCCAGCCTGTGTGACAGAGCGAGACCCTGTCTCAAAAAAATTCAATTAAATTAAAAAGAAAATTAAAAATAAATCCCTAAGGCTGAATACAGGCTCATTCATTTGGGGTCTCCTTTCACCCAGGCAAGCAGCTTTCTGTCTCTGCATTTTCCCGACTCCAAAGCAGGCTGGGGTGGGGTAGGGTGTAGAACACAGGAAACGCAGCCAGTTCTCCTTCACTTTTCACCATCTTGATCTCCTGCCAAACCAAAATCCTATGTCTTTCCCTTTAACATACGCTTACAAAATGCAGCCTTCTGTGGGAATATTGAGATCATACATTCCAAATTACTTAAGGGGATGATTTTTAAATTTAAAGAGACTAGTTCTCCAAGAAATCCCGGTTTGGGATAGAGAGGAACAAGTTATTTGGGAGAGATTTAGAAGAGAATGAATTTTAGAAAAGTAGCGAGATCAGGATAGAGTCAGCTTAGCATTTGGATTTTGCAAACTTCAGCAAAGTGAATTAAGCTCGCTGGTCTTAATTTTTTCATTGGAAATAAGGAAAATAATAATGCTTACTTTGATGATTTACTTTAACATTTAAAAAATCGACTCTCTGTTATCTAGTCTAATGATAAAAATATAGATAGAGCATCGTTCCTTGCTGTGAAAGATCTTATGAAGAAGTGAATTGCAGTGAGGATTCACACATAGAATGTGCTCAATAAACATTCTTATTTTATTGTTTAGATTAGAAGAGGGGTGGAGGGAGAATTGAAAGCGGTTTGGAAACCGCAACTACTACCAAAGCACTGGGTAATGGGAGTAGAGAGGAATTTCGGGTTATGATTTGATTCTGGGTCTGAGTTTCGACGTTGAATTCTCCCATATTTGGGCCTAAATTCTCAGAAGAGAATAGGATGTAAGGGCTGAGATCATCTGGTACAGTTTTATGTAAATCGAATATTCTTGCCTCTTGTCACTGTGCCCTGGCGAGAAACACCACCTCCACCTAAGCGCATCCAATCTCAGCCCCAACTAGGTGACGTCATCGCCCCGGCCTGCATCCCCAGGCCTCGGGGAGTCGTCTCGTCTCTAAGCTACAGTCTCCGCCCCAGTCCCAGCAGCGCCTGCGCACTATGGAGAGAGGGGGGTGGGGTGGGGTGGTGGGGATGACGCGTGCGCGCTGCGTGAGGGTGGGGCTAGTGCGCACGCAGCCTCAGCTGCTGCCCCGCCCTTGCTCTTCCCGGTTTCTCCGTCAGCCTTTGGATCCCGGCTGGCGGCTGCTTCCGGTAGGAGAGCGGTGTAGGGCGAGCAGGTCTCAGCTACTTGTCATGTCTTACGGTCCCTTAGACATGTACCGGAACCCGGGGCCCTCAGGGCCCCAGCTCCGGGACTTCAGCAGCATCATCCAGACGTGCAGCGGCAACATCCAGCGGATCAGCCAAGCCAGTGAGCCGGGGCACCGAGCTGGGGGGCGGGAGCGGTCCCGGGGACAGGCCTGGGTTAGGCTGCCGGGACGTGGAACCCGGCTGGGGCTACGGCCGAGGCCACATCTGGGGCTGTCTCGGGTTGTCCACCCTGGGGGCGGTGGGCTGCCATCCCCTAGTCTGTCAGGCCCGTGCTGCCCTAGGGTCTCCGACCCCAGTTGAAGCTCGAGTTTCTTTTCTTGTGTTCTGCCCCCACGGTACTGGGGCCAAAACAGCCTACTTGACAGCCCAAGGGTAGGAAGGGGCGTGTGTGTCACCTCGAGAGCTGTGAGTGCGTTGACCTGGCGCAGTGATCAGCCGAGTTTCTCCTGTCATCCACCTTCCTCCCTATCCACCTCGCTTTCCTCTTAGGCCAGTTTGGATGGGGTTGTTTACTGAGTTAGGCTTTAGGTTTACATTCTGCTCAGCCCCTGACTCCTCGGAAATCAGCAGCTTTCAATTAAGGGAAGTGGAGAGTGCCTGTGTTTGGGTGACTTCATACACAGTTCTTCCTGAATTGAATTCGGAAATCAGACACAATGACTGGTATTTGAGAGGTGGGATGACTTCTGTTTTAATAAAGAGAATTCACCAACAACATTTCAATTTACATTATTTTGTCTTTTTGTAACAAATAATTGGGGTATATTTTTTATTTCAGGCAGATGAGGTTTTTGTTTTCCTTCCATACTTAGTTGCTCTTGAACAAATCTGCTACACAGGGAAGCTCAGAGTCTTAGCCACAACCACATAGCAAGTAAGGCATGGCAGAGTTGTTGGTGGGATTCAGAATGGTATTGCTTGTCTTAAAACTCCCTCCTCCGCCGGGCGCGGTGGCTCAAGCCTGTAATCCCAGCACTTTGGGAGGCCGAGGCGGGTGGATCACGAGGTCAACAGATCGAGACCATCCTGGTCAACATGGTGAAACCTCATCTCTACTAAAAATACAAAAAAATTAGCTGGGCTTGGTGGCGCATGCCTGTAATCCCAGCTACTCAGGAGGCTGAGGCAGGAGAATTGCCTGAACCCAGGAGGCGGAGGTTGCGGTGAGCCAAGATCGCGCCATTGCACTCCAGCCTGGGTAACAAGAGTGAAACTCCGTCTCAAAAAAAAAAAAAAAAAAAAAACCAAAAACTCCCTCCTCCCCATTAGGATCTGATTAAAACTGTAGCTGAATGAGCCAAATATAGGGTGTTTCTTGTGATTGAAATTCATCTTAGAGCCTTATAAACAGGAGATCAACAGCAGCTTTACTTGGAAAGAATGGTGATCATCCTCCTTGTTTATTATTGTGTTTTGTGAGCTTGGTGTACTCTGCTAATAGGTAGAACTAGTTAGTCCTGAATTACAATTATATTCTATATTTTAAAGAAGATCACTTTGCTTTAGTTTTTAAACTTTAAAAAAAGATTTCTTTTTTGTAAAGATGAAGTCTTGCTATGTTGCCCAGGCTGTTCTCAAACCCCTGGGCACAAGCAGTTCTCCCACCTCAGCCTCCCAAAGTGCTGGGATTACAGGTGTCAGCCATAGTGCCCAGACTAATTTTTTAAAATTTTTGAAAGTTTAAAAAAAATAAATATTTTTAATTTTTTTTTTTTGAGACAAAGCCTAGCTCTGTCATCCAGGCAGAGTGCAGTAATCTGAGTGAAGTGGTACGATCCTAGCTCACTATAACCTTGAATTTCTGATCAGCTTCCTAAGTAGTGAGGACTACGGGGATGCACTATCATGCCAGGCTAATTTTTAATTTTTTTGTAGGGATGGGGTCTCACTACGTGGCCCATGCTCACTTTGCTTTTATAGTTAAATGTAGAATTTAAGAAGTAGAAAGTTTCTGATCAAAAGGGATTGAGACTGGGAGATTTGGAAGAAAGGAAGACTATGTGGCCTGTTAAAATCTAGAAGTAAAAACAATTAATATGACCACTAGTTAGAAAGTACAGTACTTTTCGGCCGGGCGCGGTGGCTCAAGCCTGTAATCCCAGCACTTTGGGAGGCCGAGGCGGGTGGATCACGAGGTCGAGAGTTCGAGACCATCCTGGTCAACATGGTGAAACCCCGTCTCTACTAAAAATACAAAAAATTAGCTGGGCATGGTGGCGCGTGCCTGTAATCCCAGCTACTCAGGAGGCTGAGGCAGGAGAATTGCCTGAACCCAGGAGGCGGAGGTTGCGGTGAGCCGAGATCGTACCATTGCACTCCAGCCTGGGTAACAAGAGCGAAACTCCGTCTCAAAAAAAAAAAAAAAAAAAAAAGAAAGTACAGTACTTTTCCTTTCAGTTTCCTTTTGTGAAGGAGCTGTAATACAAGTTAGGTCAGAAAATTCTAGTTCAAGGCTGAAATTTTCTTGTTGAAGCTAAATCTAATTTTAATATCTGTGAAATATTCATTGAACATGTATCCATCTATCCACTTCATATATATATGTACATATACATATGTACATATACATATATATTTTAACCAGAATACTCCCAAAGGTGGCTCCGACATACAGTTTAAATTTAAATTTTTATTTTGAGACAAGGTCTTACTCTGTTACCCAGGCTGAAGTGCAGTGGCATGATCTCAGCTCACTGCAGCTTCAACTTCCCTGGCTCAAGCAATCCTCCTGCTTTAGCCCTGAAGGTAGCTGGGACTACAGGTGTGCACCATCATGCCTGGCTAATTTTTATGTTTTTTGTAGAGATGGGTGGCCGGGCGTGCTGGCTCAGTGGCTGGGCCTGGTGGCTCATGTCTGTAATCCCAGCACTTTGGGAGGCCGAGGCAGGTAGATGACAAGATCAAGAGAGCGAGACCATCCTGGCCAACATGGTGAAACCCTGTCTCTACAAAAAAAAAAAAAAAAAAAATTAGAAAAAGAGATGGAGTTTCGCCATGTTGCCCAAGCTGGTCTCGAACTCCTGGGCTTAAGTGATCTACCCAATAGGCTTCCCAGTTGGCTGGGATTACAGGTGTGAGCCACTATGCCTGGCCTTCAACCTTCATTTATTTGAGTATATAGTACGTATTGGAACTGGCATCAATCTTTCAACAGGGAACCTGTGGAGCACATAAGCAAAATATAAAGTTGAAAGGGACTGGTGCTAGAGAAGAGATAGAAATTACATGCAGGTATTCTGGGGAGAGAATTTTTTTTTTTTTTTTTTTTTTGAGGCGGAGTTTCGCTCTTGTTACCCAGACTGGAGTGCAATGGCGCCATCTCGGCTCACCGCTACCTCCGCCTCCTGGGTTCAGGCAATTCTCCTGCCTCAGCCTCCTGAGTAGCTGGGATTATAGGCACGCGCCATCATGCCCAGCTAATTTTTTGTATTTTTAGTAGAGACGGGGTTTCACCGTGTCGACCAGGATGGTCTCGATCTCTCGACCTTGTGATCCACCCGCCTCGGCCTCCCAAAGTGCTGGGATTACAGGCTTGAGCCACCGCGCCCGGCTTTTTTTTTTTTTTTTGACAGAGTCTTGCTCTGTTGCCCTGGCTGGAGTATAGTGGTGCTATCTAAGCTCATTAAACCTCTGCCTCCCAGATTCAAGTGATTCTCCTGCCTCAGCTTCCTGAGTAGCTGGGATTATAGGCACGCACCACCACACCCGGCTAATTTTTTTTTTGTATTTTTAGTAGAGATGGGGTTTCACCATATTGGTCAGGCTGGTCTTGAATGCCTGACCTCGTGATCCACCCACCTCAGCCTCTCAAAGTGCTGGGATTACAGGTGTGAGCCACTGTGCCCGGCTGAGAGATCATTTTTAATTGAGAAGACATTGTGGCATTTGAGTTATGTCTGAAAAGAGGATAGAAAGATTTGGACCTTTGAAGGTAAAGAGAAGAAGAAAATTCCAGGAGGGAATAAAATGAATAGGCATCATAGTGGGAAAGCATAGGGTATATCTAGAAGAGTAATTTAATTTGGCTAGAGTGGTAGATTCCAGAAAGTAGTGGGAAGAAGAAGAATTGAAAGGTAAATTGGGGCCCAAACATGAAGGATGTTAAATGCTAAGCTAAGGAGCTTGGATTTAATTCTTTAGGAAAGTGTGAATTGAATTCAAGGGGAGAGAGACTGGAATCAGAGATACCAGTTAGGGCTGTGAAAATGAAAGGACAGGATAGGTTTCCTTGGTGATAGAATTGGTAAGATTTAGCTATTGATTGGGCATTGGGCCCAAGGGGATCAGTGAAGTCAACTGTGAGTAATATTAATAGCTAACATTTGAGTATATACTGTGTGCCAGGCAGTATGAAAAATGCTTTACATGCATTATTTTGTAACAACTCTGAAGCACCAGCATCATTTCCATGTTACGTGTTAGGAAACAAACTGAGAAAGGTTAAATAGTTGCCCTGCTAACAAATGACACTATATGAATTAGAACTAGGTCTGTCTTTTATGACCAGCAATTTGTCTTTTTATAAATTTTTGATTATTATTACAGTTCTGAGCTGTGCTCATTGGCTCACACCGTAATCCCAGCACTTTAGGAGGCTGAGGAGAGAAGATTACTTGAGGCCAGGAGTTTGAGACCAGCCTGGACAACATAGCAAGACCCCATCTCTACAAAAAAATTTAAAGAATAACCAGACATGGTAGCATGTGCCTGTAGTCCCAGTTACTCAGGAGGCTGAGGCTGGAGAATCTCTTGAGTCTAGGAGTTGGAAGCTGCGGTGAGCTGTGATTATGCCACTGTACTCCAGCCTGAGTGCCAGAGCAATACTTTGTCTCTAAATAAATAAATTAAAAAAAAATAATAATAACAGTGCTATAGCAGTTAACATTTCAGGTTTACAAATATGCAAATAACTTGTTTTTTCACTCTCCAGAGGACACTCTCGGGGGGAAATACCTGAAGCCGTGGTGCTTTCTCTTCTTGTGGTGTGTTCATCTCCTCTGCCAGATTTTTAGCTCCTTTGAGGCAAGGGACATGACTTACTCATCTTTATATTTCCAGTACTTATCTCAGTCCCAAACATGAAAGATCCGTTCATCCACT